AGGAGTTTGTTAATTGTATTTTTTTGCTCAAAAGTAGCCTCAGCAGACTAGATTCCAAACTCATCTGTTATACAAGTAGATCTGCAGAGAAACTCTATTAATTTCAGTCTTATTTGGTAATTCACTCTGGCTGTTGGCAAAAGAAAATATCCAGAACATTAAATGCTGGAATGCAGTCCTCAGTTCACAAAAATGCCTTCTTTTGATATCTTTGTGTAATTAGCATTCTGAGTTATCATCTTTTCAAAATACTATTTGATTGTGAATTGACAATATGTTCTAGCAGTGATTTCAGCAGTCCTATTTGACAGTAGATTTCAATATCCGAGTCGGATATAAGAATTTGGCACAAACGCATTTTACTACAATAATAACAAAAATTTCAGAGAGTGAGACATTATTTCTGTTATAAGTTTAACCGTCATTACAATTATCTATACTTTCAAATTAACAACAATCTTCCTCCTATCCTTCACCCAATCTTTGAAAGCATTGAAAAGCGTCTGAGAAATAACCTGTAACCCATCCTTTGGAAACTGCATACTTCATAAAATAGATATTCCTTTGTTTGAATTTTGCATTTTATTATCATTATTTTTGTGACTATGATCATCATTGTATCCATTTATCCATTATGCAGATTTATCCATTCTGCAAAGCCCACATTTTAAGAATGAACAAGAACTTTGCCATCATTTCGGCAGGTGAAACACTATTCTTTCAAGCCAGGACCAAAGTCTGATTATTTATTGATATAATGAAGATATGCAACAAGACAGTACTGTGTGCAAATTGCAAACTAGTGGAAGAACACACAGGTCTCTTCTGAATGCTTCAAATGTGCTTCGAACTCTGCATCATGTCCTGAATTCACCACAGAAAGTTGATGCAGCAAAATAACAGAATGAATTTTAATATAATTGATGCAAAAGAGCAGAAAAGTCCACAGAGCTTTACCCCTTTAGCTGAAAGGGTACTGGCAGGTGAAAACAGAAAGGAGAAAACATTTTTTTAATGGAAAACTCAGCTTGGAATAAGAAATTAGTCTTAACCAGCCCTATTAAAAAAAATGGTAAGACCTGTAATTAGATACCTCAGAGCATAGAAGGTTATCCTCTTTCCCTTTTCCATACATAAGCTCCCCTTTCTGGGTTCCCTCTGTATTAGTGAATCTGGAATGTCTCTTCTGCATCACAGAAAACCAAAATCCAAAGAAAACATGGCCAAGGATGTTAACACTGGAACTGATATCTCCTCAGTCCCACAGATTAATGCATAAGCAGTTAGAGTTACACTATCTAACCATAATATTCCTTTCATTAAGAAGGCTGTAGTGGTACCCAGAGAATGACATAGTCAGAGGTAATACAGAGAGTCTTCTGTTTTACCTGCCACATAACTGTACCAAAAAAAAAAAAAAAAAAAAAAAGAAGAAGAAGAAGAAAAAAAAAAGGCTACTTAAGGTTGGAATAGAATTGATTTTTTCCTGGAATTCGAGCTCAAGAAGAAGGACTTCTTCAAGTGACAAAAGGAAAACTAGGGAAAATACAGGAAAATACGGGCTCTGCTGAATGAGATGGCAGACCTATTTACATAAAGCGATGAAAAGACTAAGATATTGAATGCCTTTTTTTTTCCTCAGACTTCGTCAGGATGACAAGACTCCTGGAAGGTCTCAGATACCAGGCGGAAAGGCTGGATTAGGGAAGATGTACCTTTGGCGGAATAGGATAAGGTCAGGGAATACTTTAGCAAACTAGGCATACATAAATCGATGGGCCCTGATGCAATGCATCCACAAGTCCTAAACAAGTTGGCAGATGTTGTGAAGTCACTCAGCAATTTGGGGTCAATCATGGCAAGTGGGAGAAGTGCACAAAGACTGGATGAAAAAAAATGTCACAGTGGTCAAGAAGGAGGCCTGGGGAACTGCAGACCAGTCAGCCTGACTTTGATCTTTGGGTAGGTGATGGAACAGCTAATACTAGAAACCATCCAGTTGGAGGCCAGTCACAGTGGTGTTCTCCAGGCCTCAGTATTGACTCCAGTTCTCTTTTGTATATTTAGCAATGATGTGAACAAGGGTATTAAGCCACAACCTCAGTAAGTCTGCAGATGACAAGAAGTTAAGAAAAGAGTTGATCTGCTTGAGGCTAAGAAGGCTCTACGGAGGGATCTTAATGGGCTGGACCAATGGGCCAAAGCCAGTTGAATGAGGTTCAAGGCTAAAAGCCAGATACTGAACTAGGGTCACAACTAAGCCTATGCAATGCTACAGACTGGAGGAAGAGTGGCTTTAAAAATGCCTGGAGGAAAAGGACCTGGATTTGCAGCATGATAGGCAGCAGAAATAGCAATGTGCTCAGATGACCAAGAAAGCCAACACCATCCTAGCTTGTATCAGAAATAGCGTGGCTAGCAGGACTAAGGAGATGATTGCACCCATGTATTCAACTCTGGTAAGGCCACATCTTGAATACCATGCTCAGTTTTGAGCATCTCACTAGAAGCAAAATTTCAAGACAGTGGAGCGTGTTCCAACAACGTGGCAACAAAGACAGTGCCAGGTCTAAAGGGCAAGTCTCATGAGCAGCAACTGAGGGAACTGGAGTTATTTAGCCTAGAGAAAGGGAGACATGATTGCTCTCCTTAACTACCTCAAAGGTGATTGTAGTGAGGCGGTGATCAGTCTCTTTTCCCAAGGAAAATCAGTAGGACAAGAGCAAATGGCCATAAGTTGCACAAAGGAAGGTGTAGGTTGGGTATTAGGAAAAAAAGTATTCACTGGATGGGTTGTAAAGCATTGGAACAGGCTTTCCAAGGAAGTGGTTGAGTCATCATCCCTGGATAATATTTAAAAGACTTGTAGATGTAGTGCTTATGGACGTGGTTTAGTGATTGACTAAACTTGTCAGTGCTATTGAAATGTTAATGAAATGTATTTGATGATGTGAGAAAGCCTTTTCAGTGTAAGTGATCTTACAGCTTTGTAATCTCCAGGCACATGAAGGAGAAGAAAATCATCAGGAGTTTGGATTCACCAAGGGAAGGTCATATCAGACCAACCTTCTAAGTTTCTATAATGAGGTGACCAGCCTGATAGATGAGGGGAGAACAACTGTTGTTTTCCTGGAGTTCAGTAAGGCCTATGACACTGTCCCACATAAGATTCTAATAGATAAGCTGTTGAAATATGAGCTGGATGAGTGAAGTGGATCCAAAACTGTTCAGTTCCATCTGTGCCTTAGCATTTCTGATCCCCTCTCTATATGTCCAAATAGCACCCCTGTACTCTTCCCAGGCCATATCGATAGTGCTTTTATTCTATCTGTTTTATTCAGAAGCAATTGCATGCCTGCACTTATTTCACTTATTTTGTTTCTCTTTCAACTCAATAAAAGATTTAATGTAGTACAGAGTGCTTTTATGAACATGCTTTCATGAATTCCATAATAAAAGCTAGAATTCCATATAGCATGCAAGGAATAGAATGTGTAAAATGTATTTTTTTTCTCTTCAAATTAAATATTCACAGTAAACAATTGAAATACACCATCAATAAACTAGAGTCTGCCTTGGAAAGACCAGAGACAAATGAAATACAACCATAGTTCATCTTAAACTTCTCTTAAAATCTTTGAGGAAAGGTGGCATGAAATCAAGAAAACAAACCAAAAGGAAGAAAAATTGAATAATCTGATAATGCTTAGAATATAGCAATACTACTGGATAACATTGCATTCTGGTTCAAGTATTGACAGGCCAACCAGAGGTGAAGCACTGCGGGATCTGGTGCTCACCAGTGCAGAGGAGATCATTAAAGGCATTAAGATTGGAGGCAGCTTAGGCTGCAGTGACCATGTGCTGGTTGAGTTTGTGATCTTGAGGAATGTGGGCCAGGGAAAGAGTGTGGTCTTGCAGTATTCTTGGTCCTGGTATATTTAAAATAAGAGCTAGTATTAATTCTTGCATGACGTTTTCTCAAATTCTTGTATGACCCTTTCCATCCTTCCCTAAAACCTTAAACCAAATATAGAATCACAGAACTGCAGGGGTTGGAAGGGATCTCTGGAGGTCATCAAGTCCAACCTCCCTGCTAAAGCAGGTTCCCTACCGTAGGTTACACAGGAAAGTGTCCAGGTGGCTTTTGAATACCTCCAGGGAAGGAGTTTCCACAACCTCTCTGGGCAGCCTGTTTCAGTGCTCCAACACCCTCACAGCAAAGAAGGCAATGAATGAAAAATAGAGTCAGGACACTGAACTTCGGGAGAGCAAACTTTAGGGTTTTCCCCTTCTCTGTTAAGGTACTGTTGGACGAAATCCCCTGGGAAGCTGTCCTTAGAGACAGAGAGGTTGTATGACAGAGGTTGTTTATAGCAGCAGCATAGCTCATGGACAGACAAACCTATTTGAACCCCGGACTTGCTCAGCTGCCAGGTCCTGCCAAGGCCACTCCTATGGGGAGCCCCATTGACAATAACTCCTGAGGAACCCTAAGGGAATTGCTAGTTCTCAGAGCATCCTGAGAGATATTATGTACCAAAGTGATACTTCTTTCAGTAGCAACACTCATAGGCATTCAGACATCCATACTCAGCATTTGGCATAAAAAAATGAACAAGTAAAAGCAGTATTTGCTATAAATCAATCACTCAGCGCAACTGTACCGTGATGCAGTCTGTCTATTCAATCTATCACAAACTTGTGTGCACATGAAGAAGAAGAGAGAGTGTCTAAGAGGAATACAGAGTACTTTTATTGTTTTGTTCTTTCCCAAGGAAAACGCATACACATGAATAACTTTAGCTCTGTCACACTTTCCAAGGTGCAAATGAGATGCTACTCCCTTTACACTGCTGTTCCTTTTCCTGTGTTGAGTCATGCAGTGTAGATATTTTATCCTCTTCATGTCTCTGCTGTAAGACCTCAGATCATGTTGTCACTTTACAAATATAGCATATTAGTACATCTGGAGGGCTAGTCACGCTGCGGGGTTCAGCAGCTATGCTGCTGCTATAAACAACCTCTGTGTCCCAAATTAAATAACCACAGAGTACATCCAGAACTTCTGGACACTAGTGTTCTGTAGTAGCAGGTAAGTGAGAATTTTGCTGGTTATTGTGTTTCTTCAGGTGTGTGGGGTCAAGGTAGGAAGTAATGAAACCGAAATGTTTTTATCAGGTCTTTTCTGCTGTTACTACATTGTGGATTTTTAAATGCCAATATATATGGGATAAATAGCTGAAAGCATTAATCCAAAGTGATGTATTTGCTGGGTACCTTTAAAGATTGTAAGACTCATACTACATGTCATTTCTCTAAGAAGATTTACATCTGTGACAAATCCAAACTTTATAATTTAGTGAGGTTTTCAAGACTTCCAGCTACTTGCTCACTTATGACTCAGTTGTAATAAACCCTTGCTATTACATCTCAAGGACATATGCTGGTGTGCAAGTGATTTTCAATAAAAAAATTGTTTGAGAGATTGGTCATTTATCTTTGTTGTTTGCCAAAATTTAGAGTGGAACTTAAGAAGAGCTATAGAGGTTCTTTTTCTGAAGGCCACTTACATCTAATCTAGCATGGTATAGAAAATCTAATCTGCTAAATCTTTTGTGAGCAAAACCTATCATTTAAGTCAGATGTTGTCATTATTTTTGTTGTTGCTACTGAATATTTAGTGCTGTCTGTCACTGACATGTAAACTCTATGCTAAGGTACTGACTAGTTTTCTTCTTAGTAGCTGTTAACTTAGGGAGCAGTTAACTTGAGAAGGTCAGTGATAGACAAGATGTATTAACCAAAGAGGTAGATCCTACTGGAGTTTCATCCACACTGCTCTTCACTGGAATGAGGGTGAAGAACTTTTACAAGAAGGATGCCCATCTGTCTTTGTTGTCTGTACCTCCTATCCAAATGCCAAGAGACAGTTGGAGAGTTTGTTGGAAAAGTCTAAAGATATAGCTCTGGTCAGTGAGGACAGTGAGATAATACAGTGCTACTTCATGGCTGTGAGGTGGAGTTTGAGCCATTTGAGCTGGAATAACTTGATTGCTGAAGTAGTTTAAAATACCATCTTCTCCTGCCTATCTAAATTGTTTGTGCTTGTCATCCTACATAAAAGAATCTGAGTGTTTAGGAAATGGCTATGAGCATTTTACTCACAATATGTGTAAATAAGAAATGACTAAAAAGCTCAATACTACAGGTCAGTCATGGCTTTTTGCTTTGCTTCTACAACAAGGGAAAATGCAGAAGGTAGTACAGGATTCCTGTTAGATCACTGCATGGAAAATGGACACATCAAAAGGAACAAAAGGACATCATCAAAATTTTGGTTATTCTCAATTCTGTGGCTATTCTCAATTAGAAAAGGCAATCTGAAATATAATTTATGAGGTTATCATCCATACAGATAACTACATGGACTGGTTCCAGTACATGAAAGGTAACAATAGCAGCCCCATTTCCTGGGTTGACCATAGTCCACTAGGCTTATGATGAATAAGTCAATTAGGTGTTGCTAAAAGATCTGATGACATAGAACAGATCTGAGAAACCTGAGACTCTTCTCTCGAGTTTCTGATTAATTAAGACCATCTAATTATATATGAAAGCCTCCATATTTTGTTCTCTGTATCTTTATTTGCAGTGGATCTTTGTAACTAATGAAGTGGGGAATCTCTAATTATTGGACAGACTCAGGCTTTCCGGTTTATTTTAACAGTTCTTTCCACCTGCTGACTACAGCTAAATTTGTAGATTCAACAACCTTAAAAATATGTAATACACTTTTGAGCTCACTGGCATCCCTTTGACAAAAAATGGCTTAAAATATAACCCCATTTCGAATACACCAGACACTCCTTAATCTTGCGAGTATTATATTTCTCTTCACTAATGCTCTGTGAAAAAATAAAGAATAGATTTGTGCCAGTGTCCAGTGTTTTGTTATCTACATTGTCAATGGAAGAATTGCTTTGAATAATTAGTCAACTCACTGAAGTGCAAGGGAAGTACATCTATAATAAATCCCATCGCATATGTAACATCTGTCATGCTTGATGGCAAACATATTAGTACTACAACATTTGAGAAAGTATAAGAAATATTCAAGGTGTGAAGAATGCAGTGATAAAGTTTGTGAGACTGATTAACTTACATCTAGAATATGAACAGATTAATGAAAACTGCAATTGTGCTGCAGAACTGAACAAAGATATGTAAAAGTGTGCAGGAACCAAGCTCAGCGATTTCATGTATGTATTCACATATCTTTTTAATTTTTGATGTTCACAGTTATTCCTACCTAAAGAATAATGAATACATTAAGATATGCAATCTTTGCTCTACTAGCTATGGTATATAAACAGTGCAAAAGTTTTGTGGTTTTTTTTTTTTTTTTTTTTTTTTTGTGAAACAGGCTGATATCTTAATTAAGATTCTGTTCTTAAAAACTTACTTTATATAAGTAGAAAACTCAAAATTAACTAGATTTATCAGACCATTTAGGCTTAAACCTTGTGATATGCAAAAATGCTGATTTCTGAAATTAATTTCAGTGAAAGCTGTACTAATAGTTTGGAAATATTACTGTCTGTGTTTGTTTTTCTAGGAGCTGGCTGGCTTAGAATGTGCTCTTGAGGGAGCAGGAAGGAACATTTCAAACTCCCCAAACATTTAGGCTTGTGTCCAAGTGTCAGGATGACTTTCTCCAGCCTGAAGCAGCTTGTCCCTTTCCACTTCTATTTATTCTGTGGTGTAGCAGAATTTTCTGGATGTCTACAGACCAGTGCCTCCAGGGAGACTGGGGACTGCTGTGATCCCTGCATATGTGCTTCCTATACATGGATGCATATGTGATTTGAAGTATATAAACCTGCTTCTATCTCTTCCCTAAAACAGACTATTAAACCTGCATATTTGGTGAGTTTAGCTACAAATTTACCTGCAAATCCAGTGTGGAGAATAATGCCCTGAGGGTATATAACAAGGGCTTGTTTCCAGCAGCAAGACTAGGAATGGTAGAGCAGCTTCCTGTTCTGCAGTTCCTTCCCTCTCCCAAAGTGGCACAGTGTAACACTGACCCACGTATGAGCTGTGCTTGTTGTAAACTTTGAACATTGTCACCATTTCTAGTGTTTTTTCAATCATAGCATATTTCTGTAATTTAATCTTTCCTTCATAATAAGTACATAAAGAAAGAAAGAAAGAAACATATTCAGATGCTATCCAATGTCAAGTTCTCTTGAATTACTCATGGGATAAATTGATCATTCTGAAACACACATTGTGTGAGTGAGTTTATTTTGTAAGAAATTATTTGCAAGATTACTAGGAGACATTTTCACCCACATTTTCCCCTGTGTAATCCAGGCAGTAATAAGATTACAGCAGGTCTCCTATAGTGATTATCTAAAAGAAATTGTCTCAAGTTAAACAAATTGAAGAACAAAAATGTTCACATTTTGGTAACTCAGCAAAATGAAGGTATGCCTGGTGTTCATTCTGACATTCAGACTTTGGAGGGCTTTAACACTAACTAATATTGTCTGATTAGTAATAACAAAACTACGTTGTACAACTTTGAGATTAAAGAGAAGACATAGGTCTTATTCTACAAATGCACAGTACAGACTTGTTGGCCATTAACACTGATACTAAAACTGTTCAGAGGAGGCTAAACTGTCATATAATAAAACCAATATAATTTTGCCATCTGACTAGCTGTTTTCAAACCACTCAAGACAGGGATAACTTTGATAGACAGCAAAGAGCCATAGGAAACTTGGTATTGTCAGTCCTGGAAAGCTGTACAGTTTTCATATTTAAGAACATTTTCCCCCCTGTGCTCCACTACTTTTGAAAGAAAATCTTGTCTTTAATTTTGTGTAGTACGCTCCTTAGTGCGACTACACATCAGTACAGTGCTAAAATTATTACAGAAATGTTGTATATTGTTAATCCAATGCAGCTTGTACTTTGAAGTGCAGTTCTGCGAACTTCTGTAGGATTTCAGTGTTACTTTTAGCATATGTGTACTTAAACAGTTTGATTCTCAAAGGTCAGTGATGTTGTGGCATCTGGTAGTATATGAACAGCTTACTCAGATGAAGCTCCTTTAACATTTTAAAAGCCAGTTGCTTGAGTGGCCTTTTGTAGCACAGGCTTGTAACACTTCCAGATGTAGTGCAAATGATCATTTTCCTTGTTTTTCCTAAACCCAGTAAAAGAAACAAAACAGAAAAACAAACCAAAACAAAGAGTCAAAAGCTGCATTGGTAACGGGGGCCAACGGCCAAGTGGGGATAGGTAGAACTCAGCAGACATGAGAGAGAGTACTGGCTATTTTCAAAGATAGCCTTGAAAATATCTAGCAAGTCTGTGGTAGAGCAGTCAATGGGGTTGGAGATATCAGTAGCTATAAGGAACAAGGTTTTTAAAGAGGTAGCATACCAGATCTACTAAATAACTATAAGTAATAAATAATAAGTAATAAAGAATGCAGATATTATAAGGCAGATACCTTCTTCAATCTGTGGTTTTTAAACACCTTAATGAATAGATTTAAGTCTATGGCTTCTGGGTCCTCACACAACAGGAAGAAGAAAATATAAGGCAGGTGCTAAAGAACTATCTGAATATCTTTAGGGGAATTTACAAAATAAAATAAAATAAAAGATAAAATAAAAATATTCCATGCAGATATCTAAGCAGATATTTTCTTCTCTTTATGTTACTGACCGTCCTCTTCCTTGGAAAGTTCTGTACGCTCATTATGATGCCTAGATCACTCCAAATGTAATGGCTCCTATTTATTTCCATGGAAACTACAACAGATATAAAGAGCACAGTAACACTATTTGATACAGCAAATTTTCTGCTACAAAACACTATTTTTCAATGTAGCTACCACTATTAACTTTCACCAGAAATGAACAAGAGTCTGCATGCTGTGCTCATAATGATCTGCAGCAGCAGAGGTGACTCACTGTTTCACAGCTGCTGTCATGGCATTGTTGCAAGGAAAGTGTTGCCCACACAGCTTATTTACTTTATTGACTTGAACAGGTGGAAGTCAAAAGCCAAATCCAGAATATATGTTGCCTGTGGTAGGGCCAAGACTGCGTGTGGTAGGGCCAAGATATGTGCGCCACAGTCTTCATATTGATATGGCCCTTGTGTTACCATGCAGCAAGAGAAACCTGGTATTCTCTGTCTTAACTCAGAAAGTGTGAGCCTTCAGCTTAGTCAGCACTGTCTTATTCTCATATTGGTTTGATAGATTCTGACAAACTTCCATATGGTGTTCTTTCTCTTCCTGTGTGGGCATTTGTGGCACCCACCTGGCACAAAATTTGCAATATTTCAGTATTGCTACCATCATTTCTTCTGAAGCCAAGAGTCAGCTCCGTATACAGTTTCCTGGTTGTAATCCATTGATTTGCATGGACGAGCAGATTGAGACACTTCATTTCATGGTGTGACAGTTGTGCACGGCTGTTTGGAACATGGCTCATCTTTCATGTTGCTGTCACCACTGCTGAAACACACCACACACTGCCTGATTTGGCAAACACACATCCACTGTTTGGTCTCTATGAATGATCAGCAAGTATCAGTGATGTCATAGGCCAGCACAATAAAATAGGATACATTACTTTTGTATCTCTCGCAGATTACATTGCTGAAGAGCCTTTCTTTCATAATGTATTTTCACTAATAATTCTAATAAGACTGAAAGAGCATTTGTAGAATGTTAGATAAGAAAGGTGAACTGAGAATCTCCAGCAGATTACATATGTAGTTGTTACCCAGGTAAGACAGCATTAAACTTTCAACCACCTAATTATGCCTTGGTAGATGCTGTCTTCACATCATATTTGTGGCTGTGTTCAGTTTGAACAGAATAGTCCTCAGGAGTTTTGATGGGCGCCTCTTACCTCCTAGCTGTATTCCACTTGTACCTGGTTTTACAATTGCAGAGAAATCCCAATGCATGCAATGTAATCCAATTTGTGGATGAAAATCAAATGAACTTTTTCACCTTGAGTCTCTACTAGATCAATGTCTTCATAAAGAACAGATGACTTAACCTGGCAGACAGGAAGATGGGAAACAAGTCAAAAAAATAAAATACTTACAGAATTCACTTAGACTTTGTGTTGATTAAGGCCATCTAGGTTTAACAGAGTTTGAGTGCTCAACTGCCACTTCAACATCTCTCAGCAATTCAGCTCCCGCAATAGCCCTCCCAAAACGCTAGCTATGAATTAAAATGAATTAGAGCCTGCAGAGTGACTGCAGTGACTGTGAGGAGGAAGTCCTTGCTGCTGTTTCTTGGTTTAGACAACTCAGGTGAGTGTTTTATTTTAGGTGATAACAGATGAAAGCAATTTTAAAAGGTATATCTGATTATTGATAAACCATTCAACTGAGAATAAGGTCATCATTCTCTTTACACTATTATTAGCAGGTTTTTAACTTGTCTATTGTCAGCAACCAGTAACAGATAAGTTATAAAATTATTTTTTGCGTAATTATTAGTGCTTGTAAATATAAACAACCTCTATGAACAGCAAAGATAGTAGATCTAAGATCTTTACTAAGGTAAAGAAGACTTTGTCTTATAAAAATATCAATCTCTTACCAGTATCTCTGTGCCAGCATTTGGAGTAGTTTTACAATTATGACAAATAAGGTGGACAGGTAGGAACCTTTCTTCTTAGTGTATAACTGCATAATTCATTTTAGTACACACTATGTGTCTTCTAGAGGATATGAGGGTGTTTTCTGGCTCAGAAAATATTATTTCTTTGTATGTTGTGTATTAAAGAGAGATGAAGAAGAAAGAGGCAGTTATGAAACTACAAGTGGAACAATGTAGAGGGGAGAATATTTTCCGCTTCTTCCTCAGAAAGACAGAAACCTTAAAAATATCCTGTAAGGGAAAGGGCACATTACTTTCCCAATTATCAGTAGATATTTCAGTGCAGTTTCATTTTTTCCATTATTTTTTTTTAAGCTAATGAGTGGTATAATAAAAGTAGCATCTAAAAAAACCTAACCTTAAACAAAGTACTTTTATCTTGGTGGAAGCAATTATTTTTAAAATCTTTCAAATTTCTATTTAATAATACACGTTCACAGTGGTTTAGTGGATCACTTTTTGAAGGACTAAACTTGACAGAAGTCACTAGTAGATGATGTAGCTGCATTTAATGAAAAAAAAAAAAAAAAAAAAAAAGTGTTGTGAGGCTTGCACTCTCACCAGTGATTCCAACAAGAGACTAAAAGAGTACTGCTTTACTTATGAAAATTGATATCTGCACTTCTGTTAGTGATATCAAGGATGTTTTTTTCTCTTTTTGCCACTGAACCATTGCTACAAATTAGGAAGGAACATCATATTGCTAGTCACACTATGTTTCATAAGGAGTAACTACAAGGTTTTCTCTTATTAAAGATACTGTAGATTTCTTTCCTAGAGCTGAAAGACTTTAAAGTTCTTATCTGGCCAAGCTCAAGCATGATGCTTATTAAAGGGAATGAGTACTTTATCACTGACGTCAGGAAAAGGAAGGCTCCTTGCAAGAAGTTTTTCTGTCTTCTTAATTCAACAGAGAAAGATTGATGAACTAGCCTCTAGTTCAGTTCAGTTCTTAACCGCACATAAAAAGATGTTCTCAGAACCTAATACTTTTATACTTTGAACTGCTGGAAAGAAACTCTACATGTACTTATAAATTGGTATCGTGTTCACAAACACTAACTTATTTCAACAATTGTTAATCTTTCACTGTATGTTATAGGGTAGGTGTTTTAACACATTTCACAGATAAGGATATATTTATGGACACAATTACTATGAGACAGAATCAATGTGGCTGCATAAAAAACAATACAGTGGGAACTCAAGCTGAAGTATATGATTTATGATTAATAAATAATTTATTACTTCTTTTAATGCTCGTTGCCTAGATTGTAAGAAAACACAAAGTCATTCAAATTATTTTCATTAGATTAGTAGTTCTTTGCAACTGTGTCTTTATTTTAGAAAGGGAAAAGTGCAAGGGCTCAATAAATTCAACATTCAACCCTCGTCTATAGTTCATTTTGTGTGGAAATCCCTTCTATGCTGCATTGATCACTATGGGCACAAAACTCTAGAAAAAATACATAAGGTAGAGAGCACATTGTATTACTATTATTTTGGATTCTTCTTTGCCCAGGTAGGTTTGCTGAAACATGATGGTTGTTTTCCTTATTTTTTTCTTAGTGCTTGCATTAAATGTTCACGATGCCTTGTTCTTGCAGGAGAAGTTTAATGTCAGCAGTATGGGGCATCAGGTGATAATATTTGACTTTTCGCTCATAAGAGGACTCTGGGAGGCTCGAGTCAAGAAGAACAAAGAACGTCAGAGGAAAGAGAAAGAGAGATTAGAAAAAAGTTCATTAGAGAAGTAAGTTGACTATCTTGATATTCTTTAAAATTAAAATCAGTATTGTTTAGTCCTATCTCATCAACCAGAAGCAGGACAGCAGAGGGTTGCACTAGCACCGGGCACCAGGATGAGAATGAAACTGAGACTGGGTCTGGACATGGGCTTGAGAGCGGGCTTGGCTCTGCGGGGCCCTTGGTTGGGCTGGGCAAAGCTGTGGGAAGCTGGGGACCAGTGTGGCCTCACTGTGTCAGGCAGGAGGTGGTGGTCCTGATGCCAGAAGTGAGTCCTGAGTGGAGGGCATAAAGGATGCTGAAATGGCGTGCTGGTCTTTGAGCATGTGAGGGAGGCCTCAAGGGAACAGGCAGGGATAGCGATCATGACTGCTATGACATGATTCAGGACTCTGGCAACTCAGCTTAAATGACTGAAATATTCAGATCCTTATTTATTTAATGAAATAAGACAGTTCATACCTAATTATAAAATCTTAGTAAAAAAATTAACTTGTTTGTACCTACAAACTGACATTTTCAAATGATTTCTGTTTATTATTCATCATTGCCTGTAATAATAAGTTACCAACTGCAGCAGCTGGGCTTGGCTCAAACTTCAGATACTAGTTTTGCATTGGTGTGTTTCCAGTGTCTTTACTGAAAACTCACTGTGTCAGTACAAGCAGAAGAAAATCTGGGGGAAACAAGAACTGCAGATGCAATCATTCAAGTTTGTCTTCAAGCCTGAAGAAGATTATCAGGATTCATGCTGATCTTCTTTTTGCCTTGGTGGAATGCCTGGAGAATCTGTATCACAAGTCCTTACCATTTGGTCAACATATTTTTAACAAATATTGGTGATAAAAAGTGAATTTCTCATCACTACCACATCTGAGTTACCAAACATATAACTTGAATGCTACATCTGTTCACCTATGTGCATATTTTTGACAAATAGCTATCTGGGTTTCCTAAGGTAGGTATGCATATTATAGACCTCATCTGCACAAGCTGACAAAGCAATTGGTAATGGAGGCAATATAGAGAGATACAATGGAGCAGACAAGATATGACCTTGTATAATCAAAAGCACACTACACATTTTTGCTTGAAAACTACATAGGAATACTTATTCCCACATTCTTGTTTGGAACATGGTAAGAGAAAGTTATTCTTAGTTAGCAATTATATGAATAAATATCTTAGTGCTCTGTGATCCACCAGTCACAACTTTGCAGGTGTTGATTTTGACTAAGGAAAGTAAGAGGCCTTGTGGTGTTTAAACGTTGAATGACACAGGTCTCAGCAATAGACAATTCTCCATTAAGCTGTAGTGATTTCTCTATTCAAGAAGTCATAGGTCAGCTGTTCTCCAAATGATAATCACGGACTATCCATGAGATTCACAGAACCATAGAGTGGCTTGGGTTGGAAGGGACCCCAAGGATCACCCAGTTGCAACCACCTGTCACAGATAGGGCAAACAACCTCCAGATCTGGTACTAGACCAGGTTGCCCAGGGCCCCATCCAACCTGGTCTTGAACACCTCCAGGGACAGAGCATCCAAAACATCACTGGGCAGCCTGTTCCAGCACCTCACCACTCCCTCTGCAAAGAACTTCCCCTGACATCCAATCTAAACCTTCCTTCCTTGAGCTTAAAACCATTCTCCCTTGTCCTATCACTATCTACCCACGTAATAAGTTGACTCCCCTCCTTTTTATAATCCCCTTTTAAATACTGGAAGTCTGCAATGAGGTCTCCTCACAGCCTTCTTTTCTCCAGGCTGAAGAAGCCTGTCCTCACAAGGAAAGTGCTCCAGCCCTAGGATCATCTTTGTGGAGATGACCTTCTCCATTGGCTCATCTTTTCTGTTTTGGGGGCTCCAGACCTGGACGCAGTACTCCAGATGGGGCCTCTCAAGGGCAGGGTAGAGAGGGACAACAACCTCCCTGTCCCTGCTGGCCATCCCTCTTGTGATGGAGCCCAGGATACCACTGGCCTTCTGAGCTGCAACAGCACATTGCTGGCTCATGTTCAGTTTTTCATTCAGCAGGACTGCCAGGTCCTTCTCTGCAGAGCTACTGTTAAGGAGTTCTTCTACCACTCTGTATACATATCCCAGATTACTCCGACCCAAGTGCAAAATCTTGCACTTTGCTGTCGAACCTCATAAGGTTGACCTTTTGATTTTGTCTAGGTCCTTCTGGATGACATTTTCTGCTAATGTGTAACCACAACACTCAGCTTGGTGGCACTGACAAATTTGCTGAAGGTGTACTTGAGCCAGTCATCGATGTTATTGAGGAAGATGTTGATGAACACTGGTCCCAAGACAGACCCTGGGGGACACTGCACATCACCAGCCTTCACCTGGACATTCGTAGTGCCATTCACCACGACCCTCTGTCTACATTCTTCCAGCCAATTCCTTATCCACCAAATAGTCTATCCCTCTAATCTATATCTCTTCAGTTTAGAGATAAGAATGTGGTGCGGGCCCATGTCAAAGACCTTTCACAGATCTAGGCATATGACATCAGTTGCCTTCCCTTTGCCCACCACTGTCATCACTCCAGCATAGAAGGCTACCAGATAGGTATGGCATGACGTGTATACATTCAGTCTCATGAGGTGGTCTCAGAATTGCTCTGCCCATGCGGGCTTGGGGGGGGGGGGGAGGGGTAGAGGGGGAGAGACGGGGGTTTAATCCCTCAGTTCCCGCCTAGAGTGGGCCCAGGGATGTGAGCTTCAGGGACATGAGATGTACAGGAATCCTGGTTGCCACTGAAGAACAAGGCAAAAAACTCATTTAGTACCTCAGCCTTCCCCATATCTGTTGTAGCCAGATCTCCTTTCTCAATTACCAAAGGAGGTATGCTCTCTTTGGCCTATCTCTTCTGGCCAACTTACCTGTAGAATCCCTACTTCTCGCTTTTAACATTCCTCACCAAGCTTGGTTCCATCTGCGCCTTGGCTTTCCTAATCCCCTCTCTGCAAGTCCAGACAGTGCCCCTGTATTCTCCTCAGCTGACGTGTCCTTGTTTCCACAGCTGGTACAGCCTGTACTTTTCCCTCAGTTTGACCAGCAGGTCCTTGCCAAGCCATGCTGGCTTCCTGCCTCCCCTGCCCGCTTTCTTATTCTGAGGGACAGAGAGCTCTTGAGCTGTCAGAAAGACATCCTTAAAGAGTAGCCAGCTTTCCTCCACTCCTTTGTCTTTAAGGACAGCTTCCCAGGGGATTTCGTCCAACAGTACCTTAACAGAGAAGGGGAAAACCCTAAAGTTTGCTCTCCCGAAGTTCAGTGTCCTGACTCTATTTTTCATTCATTGCCTTCTTTGCTGTGAGGATGTTGGAGCACTGAAACAGGCTGCCCAGAGAGGTTGTGGAAACTCCTTCCCTGGAGGTATTCAAAAGCCACCTGGACACTTTCCTGTGTAACCTACGGTAGGGAACCTGCTTTAGCAGGGAGGTTGGACTTGATGACCTCCAGAGATCCCTTCCAACCCCTGCAGTTCTGTGATTCTATATTTGGTTTAAGGTTTTAGGGAAGGATGGAAAGGGTCATACAAGAATTTGAGAAAACGTCATGCAAGAATTAATACTAGCTCTTATTTTAAATATACCAGGACCAAGAATACTGCAAGACCACACTCTTTCCCTGGCCCACATTCCTCAAGATCACAAACTCAACCAGCACATGGTCACTGCAGCCTAAGCTGCCTCCAATCTTAATGCCTTTAATGATCTCCTCTGCACTGGTGAGCACCAGATCCCGCAGTGCTTCACCTCTGGTTGGCCTGTCAATACTTGAACCAGAATGCAATGTTATCCAGTAGTATTGCTATATTCTAAGCATTATCAGATTATTCAATTTTTCTTCCTTTTGGTTTGTTTTCTTGATTTCATGCCACCTTTCCTCAAAGATTTTAAGAGAAGTTTAAGATGAACTATGGTTGTATTTCATTTGTCTCTGGTCTTTCCAAGGCAGACTCTAGTTTATTGATGGTGTATTTCAATTGTTTACTGTGAATATTTAATTTGAAGAGAAAAAAAATACATTTTACACATTCTATTCCTTGCATGCTATATGGAATTCTAGCTTTTATTATGGAATTCATGAAAGCATGTTCATAAAAGCACTCTGTACTACATTAAATCTTTTATTGAGTTGAAAGAGAAACAAAATAAGTGAAATAAGTGCAGGCATGCAATTGCTTCTGAATAAAACAGATAGAATAAAAGCACTATCGATATGGCCTGGGAAGAGTACAGGGGTGCTATTTGGACATATAGAGAGGGGATCAGAAATGCTAAGGCACAGATGGAACTGAACAGTTTTGGATCCACTTCACTCATCCAGCTCATATTTCAACAGCTTATCTATTAGAATCTTATGTGGGACAGTGTCATAGGCCTTACTGAACTCCAGGAAAACAACAGTTGTTCTCCCCTCATCTATCAGGCTGGTCACCTCATTATAGAAACTTAGAAGGTTGGTCTGATATGACCTTCCCTTGGTGAATCCAAACTCCTGATGATTTTCTTCTCCTTCATGTGCCTGGAGATTACAAAGCTGTAAGATCACTTACACTGAAAAGGCTTTCTCACATCATCAAATACATTTCATTAACATTTCAATAGCACTGACAAGTTTAGTCAATCACTAAACCACGTCCATAAGCACTACATCTACAAGTCTTTTAAATATTATCCAGGGATGATGACTCAACCACTTCCTTGGAAAGCCTGTTCCAATGCTTTACAACCCATCCAGTGAATACTTTTTTTTCCTAATACCCAACCTACACCTTCCTTTGTGCAACTTATGGCCATTTGCTCTTGTCCTACTGATTTTCCTTGGGAAAAGAGACTGATCACCGCCTCACTACAATCACCTTTGAGGTAGTTAAGGAGAGCAATCATGTCTCCCTTTCTCTAGGCTAAATAACTCCAGTTCCCTCAGTTGCTGCTCATGAGACTTGCCCTTTAGACCTGGCACTGTCTTTGTTGCCACGTTGTTG